ATTCACCACTACTGATAACAAGTGTGGATAAGTCACAACAAAATACTTGTTTTAGATTCTGCAACATGTGGTTGGATGACCCAGACATGCCACAAATCATGCTGAATGAGTGGAAAACAAAAGGATACAACAGGAATATGTATAAGTTGGTACAGAATCTTAAGAATCTAAAAGGGCCTCTCAGAAGATTACACAAAGACAAGTACAGAGACATCCACAAAAAAACAGATGAGGCCAGAGAGGAGTTGCTAAAGCTACAACCGGAGCAAAAAACGATGCCACTAACTCAAGAGGTTGTTGATAAGGAGAGGGAGCTCAAGGATATACTGCACAAAGCCATCAAGGCCTCAAACAATATGAAGTATCAACAAAGTAAATTGGATTGGATTACTAAAGGTGACAAGGGCTCAAGGATGTTTTATGCCTGGCTCAAGAAAAGAAGTATCCAAAACCATATTCTATCAATTCAAACAGGGAAAGGAGATGTGGTTGAAGGGACAGGGGAAATAGCTAAAGTATTTGTGGAGTGCTATACAAAAATGTTAGGTACAAAGAAGGACACAGAAGGTATTGATGACAGTATAGTAAGAAGAGGGAAAACGTTGAACATCACACAACAGTTGGGACTAATCAAACCGTTCAGTGCTAAACAAGTGAAAGAGGCCATATTCTAAATCCCAAGCAATAAAAGTCCTGGACCTGATGGTTTTGGTAGTGCTTTTTTCAAGGGACAATGGAAAGTGGTTGGAGATCTGACCACCAAAGCTGTTTTGGATTTCTTTAAGGAGGGGAAAACCCTAACCCAAGTCAATGCAACTGTCTTAACCCTCATCCCTAAAGTATAAGATCGCAATAGCCCATTGGATTACATGCCAATCTCATGTTGTAATACAATATATAAATTTATTTCCAAACTATTATGCATGATATTGAAGGAGGTGTTACCAGATATATTGGATCTAAATCAGGGGGCATTTGTACAAGGAAGGGAATTGATACATAATGTCTTAATGTGTCAAGAAATTCCTAAAGGATAGAACAGGAAGCAGTGTTCACCAAGATGTATGATGAAGTTGGACATTCAGAAGGCTTATGACTCTTTGAGCTGGAAAGCTATTCGAGGTATGATGCATAGCCTGAAGTTTCCAGAATTGTTTATAAACTGGGTTATGTTCTGTGTTACAACACCCACATACACAATTAATATAAATGGAGGTCAATTTGGATACTTTAAGGGGGCCAAAGGACTGATACAAGGGGATCCAATCTCCCCTTTACTCTTTGTACTTGTAATGGAGTACCTAACAAGAAGTTTCCAAGTGGCTACCTAAAGAGACAGATTTAAGTATCACCCTATGTGTGGGCAGCTAAAGATAGTGAACCTGTGCTTTGCTGATGATCTAATAGTGGTGGGAAAAGCTGATAAGGAGTCTGTTATGTGTATTATGAGAGTATTGGAGGATTTCAAAGGGGCAACATGACTGAGAATAAACAAAAAAAATCCCAAATAGTGTTTGGAGGAGTAAATCAGCAGATCAGAGAGGAGTTACTCGGTATGATAGGTATGAAGATGGGCAAACTACCATTTACATATCTGGGGAGTCCTATCACTACATCCAAATTGAAACAAGCCGATTGTGATACCCTAATCAATAAACTGACTAGCAGGATAACAACATGGGGCACTAGAAATTTATCATATATGGCTAGAGTCAGGATCATTAATTCGATACTCATGGGGATAACATTGAACTTCTTGTGGAGCAGCAATCATGAATACATAAAGACACCATTGGTTAATTGGGAGGAGGTGTGTCAAGAAAAGAAGTTTGTAGGCTTGGGCATTAAAAATGCGTCTAACTGAAATAAAGCTACAATAATGAAGCTGAATTGGGATGTGGCAGATAAGAAGGATATGATGTGGGTAAAATGGATTCATGGAAGATACATTAAAGGGGAAGATTACTGGGAACACAAACCGAAACAAGATGCCTGCCACTACGGGAGGGAAATGACAAGAGTGAGAGACAAATTTAGAATGATGCCAAGAGGGAAACCTTACAGTATAAGTGATGGGTACAGATGGTTACAAGGAAGCATGGAGATAGCAAAATGGAGTGGGTACATCTGGAACAACAGTATTTGACAATGTCTAGTATATGTTCTACATTAAAAATTAATTGTAGTAATATTTTTATGCAACTGAATAATTTAAATTAAATACTCCATCCGTCCCTCAGTTTATATCCACTTTTATTTGGGCACGGAAACTAAGGATTTGATAATTAGAAGCTAGAAATACAAAAATACCCCCTTCTTCCACGACCAGAGTTTTGATTATGCTCATCGCTCAACACCTCCACCAGCCCTCCACCCCCAAGTTAGCTGCTACTCAACCCAATGAACCCATCCCACCGCCACCCATATCGTTGCACGGAGATCGGAGAAGATCACTCTAAGTCACATATCAGATCTAGGACTTAGATGATGAAGAAAGAAGCCTGATGGATGGATAATTAAGCTTTAGAGGTTAGAGGTCTGGGTCGTTGTCAATGCAGAGAGCCTCAACGGCGACTGTCATTCGGAGTCAAAATGATCTCCGCGCGACAGAGGACCTCCAGAGGAGGTGCTGGCAACTTTGAAGGCGAGATGCAAAGATGAGACAGAGTGTATCAAATTTATATGGTCCAAGCTGTTGCAATTGGAATACAAACTCACCATGAGAGAAAGATGAAAGTGGGAAAAGCTACAATTGAAATGCATTCAAAGGATATAGAGTAATGAAATTGGGGAAATATTAGAATAAATCACGAAGGAGAATGGCATATTTGATTTTAAGGGTAAATTGGACCTTTCATTTTTTTTTGTTGCTTAAAAAGGAAAGTCGAAAAATATTGCAGGACAGCCCAAAAAGGAATACTGGACAAATACTTAGAAACAGAGGGAGTAAATAAAATCAAATTTCAAAACAAAAAAATCAAATTGATTCGGTCCGGTCTGGTCCCGGGCTGGTCATTACCTTTATCGGTCCGGTCCTCGATCCATAAAATGTCTCTTTTTTGGTCTCGATTCGGTCCAGGTTTGACTCGATGGACACCCCTAATAACAACTATCTGTGTCCAATGAGCTGCACCCACCTATCACACCTCTAAAAATAAATTAAATTGGGTGGTTTTCCTATGAAGGAATTTTTTTTACAAGTAATTCCTGGTTGGAAAAGGAAATTCGTGGTAAAGTAAACCAGCTTATATAAAGCTGAAACAATATTTTTGTCTTTCAACTTTTATAAAGCCGTTTTATTAAACTTTTTTCAGATCTCACAAAGCCTATTCAGGCGTCATAATGGCGACTGATGCCATTCCCAATTTTTTTCTGGTTTTCACTCCTCTCCTCTTCCCATTCTCATAGCTAATCACTTCAACTACAACTCATTCCAACTCCATTACAAATTATCTATTTTTTCCCTTCTTTTCTCACTAAATTTTCAAACTTTATCACAATTTTATCTATTCTTCCACAATCATTCATAAGACTTTTGAAAAGTTGAGGTATGTTTTCTTAGAACAATTCTTTATAATATTTTTAATTTTTACAATATGGAATGCATATTTCTTTTTTTTAAACAAGGTATTTGTATTTTTAACCATTTTAATGTAGTATGAATAAATAGAAGTTCATTGATATTTTTTTGAAGTATAATGCATACCTCTGAGAGAGAAATAGCGGGTCCTAGATCGGGAGACTTTCTTACTTTACAAATGAAACATCGTTTACATAAAGTGTGGCATGACCCAAAGTTTATAGACAATAGAGTTTCTCCGGTTTGCTACGAAGGAAGTCTTCCAACGATTTTTCAAGATGACAGAGTCTATAATATGTTGCACTGACGAGGGTTTTACCAAAATTTGTTAGGCGTGTCGTAGCACCTACAAATTAATTTATTATTTTCCTTAACTAAAATCCCCCTTTATGAATTAATATTCTTTAAAACATATAGATAGGGCAAGTAAGAGTCAATCCCACAAGGAAAGATATTTTTTAGGCTATGAAAATCAGTTTACTTGTCACTTTTATTGAATAAAAACAACTAACTAAAATCTAAAAACAACTAACTAAAGGATATGGGGGGTTTGAATGATAATTCTAAAAAGATAAATGCAAATAAAATAAAGATAAAGATAACAAAGAACGGATACGAGATGGAACCACAGCAGCAAGTCGAACTAAAAAGCCACTCAGGGAGAAAACAATCACACAAAAACAATCACACAATAAATTTTATAAAAACATAGACAATAATAGTTAACTTAAACCATTTTGAAAATACTTATAGTTTTTAATAGAAAATAAACTGAACAAATCTGATTAACTAATTAATTATGCCTTAATTCTGAAATTAAACTGCTAATTAAGCTCAAGGTTAGGTTGAAGAAGAGGTCCGCCAACGATTCTTCCCTATTCTCTCATTCATATTAGCTCATGTTAGGACAACCCTAACTCTAAACCCTACTACCCTTAGCAACCCAAAGACCAACCCTTAAGTTACTACTAAGAATAGCGCATTAAGATTTGTGGAAAACATCACCATAACGATTTTGCAGTAACACTATGGTTATTTAACAAAATCAGTTCGAGAACATTGATTAATAAAAACCACTTAGCGAGGCAGCAAGTACTAATCAAGTGATACTTAGTTTCTAGAAAAGTTCGGCTATTTAAAGCACTTTGGACTTTAAAAGAATATCAATTTAAATTGGATTAGGCTGCAGTCCTAATTTGGTCCAATTTAAGTAAAATCTGGTGAATAATAGTTCTCAGAACACCTTTTTGAGTTTAGATTTAACAGTAGCGTAGAGCTAAAATCTCTTCAAAGTCAAATTAATTCAACAAACAAAGATTCAATCTCTTTTTATCAAATAATTTTGCCTAAGAAGGTTTTATAATTTCAGAGACAATAACTAATCAATAAATCCAACCTGAACAAATCCAACTTCAACACTCAAGGAAATCAGCACTTTTAACACTTAAACTTTCAAAACAAAATTGCTGCTGAACGTGCACTTACGGAGTGTTTAATAATGGACACAAATTTGGAATCAAGATTCCAATAAAAATCACAAGTTTAATTTAAGGACTGCAAAATAATACGGAGTAGATTTAAAGGAAATAGTGCTCCCCTAGAATTGTCTTCTTCATCGCTGCGCAGATTCCCAGAACCAGAGTCATCCATGGCTTCCTTCCAGTGCGCCGGACCCATTGACCTCGCCGCCATCGCCGGATTGTTGACATCGGACTGCCGGGCCTAGGGGTCGGAACCCTAGGCCGGCCCCCTGCTCTGCTCCCGATCTGTCTCTCGATCTCCCTCTAGAGTTGGGGTTGAAGGAGATGATTTTTCTTGTGGCTTTTGTCTCCTTTTATAGTTGTGAAGTTTGGAATCTTCAATTTGGAGTAGGATTCTTGGAATTTGCGTTGGATTTGGGGAAGAACTCTGTTTCTTGCGCCTTCCGTTTGGAGTCTGCTCTCTTCTGCGCTGGTTTGCTTCCTCTTCTACGGTTCTTTCTTTTTCTTTTTCTTTTATTTATTTGCTTGCTTCAATAATTGGTTGGGTCAAAAGGGTGGTGGATCAAATACATCTTTGGGCTTGGTCATAACTTCATTCTTCTCCCATTGCTTTTGTTCCATAGGCCCAATTCCATTATCTTCCTTAGATCAGGACTCCAAATTAATTATCAAATATAGATATGCTCAAAATAATGCATTTTATATATAAAATGTAAACAATGGCCTAAAATGCTAAATATTAGAAAATATGCTCATTTAGGTATAAAATGCATATTAAATATATTAAAACTACTAAAAAATGAGGGAATAAAATACGACATTTTATGACTTAACAAGTGCAACGTGTTCAACCTATCTCATTAGACCATGGTCTAATCACTGCTCTTATGGAGCGTTGGATACCAGAGTTACATGCATTTTCGATTAACATTGTTTGACGCAAACAATGTTTAATTTGGATACCGGAGTTACATGCATTTTCGATTAACATTGTTCGATAGTCCACCCTGTTTTTGGCGTGTTCAAGCAAACAGATTAAAATCCGGAGTCTGGAAAATAAAAAATTGTTTGATGTACACACTTGTCATCCGGATTACTCTCACGGTGGCAATGACTTAAACATCGATTATTTCTCCATTGCCTGGTTCATTGTCGGAAAAGTACGTGTAGTTCCGGAGTACAAAGTGAAGTTAATCCAATATGACATTCTACAAGAATTTCAAATTCTTGTGTCGTATAAAAAGTGTTGGTTAGCTCAGATCCGTGCTACTGAGTTGTTGTATGGTATTTGGGAGAATTCTTACTCTCAACTTCATATTATGCTGTGCAATTTACAAAATGCTTATCCAGGAACTGTCGTTGATGTTGTCTATGCAACCGAACTGCCAAACCTTAATGCCTCGCCGGAAGAGATCCCGCGCTTTAAGTATGCATTTTTGGCATTCCTTGCGGCAATACATGGATTACAATACTGCATGCCTGTAGTGACGATGGACAGAACTAATTTGTACGAAAAGTACAAGGGTCATCTCCTTCTTGTGGTTTCCATGAATGGTAATCGTAAAATTTTTCCTTTGGCTTATGTGGTTGTTGACGGAGAAACATGTGAGAGTTGGGCTTAGTTTTTTCACCTTCTTGTTTAGAGGGTTATCGGCTCACAACAAGTCTGTATTATTTCTGATAGACATATTGGAATTATTAACTCCTATCGCGATCTTCCAGAACTACATACCGGGTTTATAATGAAACATTTTTGTCTTCACCACGTCCGGAACAACTTCATGACAAAGTTCCGGAAAAGTGATCTTAAACGTTTGGTTTGGGCCACTGGTAGTACACATAATATCCAACAATTTGAATGATATATGGCCAAAATACGAAACATGAGTGATGAGGGATATAAGTATTTAAATGATATTCCCCGTGCGGCATGGACCCTTTGTTTTGGTGGTGGGTATAGGCGTGGGATCTTAACCACAAATAGTTCTAAGAGTTTCAATAATATGCTGAAAGGTTGTCGAATGTTACCAGTCACTGCCATTTTATCCATGTCCCATGCCAAGATGGCTGAGTTGTTTGATAAAAGGTACAAATTTGGTGTTTAGTGGCAACAACAAAAAGCATGCACATTACTCCGAAACTTAAAAATGTTTACATTAATTGGGAGAAAACTAAGCACAAGTGGGCAGTCTCAAGCTACGGCAACAACCAATACATAGTGACTCACACATCTCGAACACACCCTTCTTCTATTTACAGCTACTTGGTCAACTTGTTTAGTAGTGTATGCACTTGTGGGTAGTAGACTTTCGATACTATACCTTGTGTTCATGCTATTTACCACTCTTTTCAACAAGTTCCTCACAACATATTTCCGGCTAGGTACTCGGTTCAAAACTTTTTGAGTTGTTATAGTGGTATAATTCAACCTGTTCTTTTCCCTTAAAATTTAGATGTTGGTAGCTTTAAAGTTCTACCTCCAAAACGGCCAGCAGACGAGATTCCACGTTCAGGGAGATGTCAACACAATTGATACCAGAGCGAGATGAATTTCAAGGCAATGATATGATTGTAGTTTAATATTATTTTGTTTGTTTCAGTCTATGTATTGTAATTCTTGTTTACTTGAGATGTTGAGAATGTAATTTTCTGTTGATGTTTTTAATATATTTGTGTTTTCAAAATAGCCCAATATTCGTTTAAAAAGAGGTTTCTCAAAATTATTTAATTTTTTTTGTTTAAAACCGGATTTTTCCGATCCAATTTTTTAAATGATTTATTTTTTTTCTTAATGAACATTTTTTTAATTAAACTTTCGTTTTATTTAAAATGGCTTCATAAAAGCCGATTTTTAAAAATAAAAATGGCTTCATAAAATCCGATTTTTTTGGACTATTAAATACGGCTTTATGAAAGCCAAAGTGTTTTTAAAAATTTTATAATTAGAAACAACATTATGAAAGTCAATTTCCGCCTCAAGAAAGACTTGTTCTAATTAATCTCTTTGCTAGGGGTGGACAAAAAAACCAAATTAGCATGATACCGAACTAAACCGTAATGGTACCGTACCGTTTCGTCTATTTTGAAATGGGATTTGATTTTTTCATCACGAACCGCTCTCAAACGGGACGAGACCGTGATACAAAAATTAAATACCGGTAATCCCAGACCGTTTAAAATTCCATATATTTTGTAAAAATTATACTGGGCTATTAAAGATATTGGGCATTTAAAATCACCAATTTAAAATTTAAGTAGTTTTATTAATTTATTTATTTTCTAGGCTAAAGACCTTAGTGCCCAAAACCCCCAAATAGCCCATGTTGCCATTCTGGGCTTACTCATATGCACTACGGAGTAAAAATGAATTTACTCCTAAATTACAAACTAGCCTCAAACATCAAAATAGGGCAGAAACGACCGAGCACTCAAATAGGACAGAAACCAAAAGGCAGAGATTGAAGCCTATGAAATTTATTGTTATTGGCAGTAACTTATGTTTTTTGGCTTTAGTATGAATATAAGTGACATGTGGATTGTCATTTCGCTTTTTAATTGTTTTCAAGTGTCCATGCCGATTTGAAATCAATACATTTTTTTAAAATAAATTTGTGCGCTTTTATACAGAACTATACTTTTATTTTAATATTCTTTGAGTAATGCATGTTTAATATTTTTGGCACGGTTTGAGCATGAGTATGGTAGTATACCGTTTCTTTTTAAAACGGAATGATACCGAATGGTTTTAGAATTCATTCCATATCAGTACCGAACCGTTTAAATAAGAGCGATTCATGATAAGTTCCGATATTATAACGGACCGTTACAAACTGCGCCTATCCCTACTCTCTGCAGGAATTAATTCAAATAAATTTAAGACAAGCTATAAGTTCTAGATAGAAGCCGAAATCTTTCAAAAAAAAAAAGAAAGATAGAAGCCGAAAAAAAACTGAAAAATAAGAATATAGATTTCCTACAGAAGCGATCCCGCAAAAATCTAACAGTTCTCAACTCTGCACCATTTCCCTCTCGTCCGTCTTTCCCTAGATTCGAAAATGGTAGCCACCTTTCTCTCAGTCTTCCCCTACCCGCCAAAACCATTCTGCACTTGGAAATCCTAGTTTCATATTCTACACATCGAATTTTCAATCTCAGCTCCCATATTCACTGAAGTTCACTGTTATCTGTCGATCTAGGGTTTCAGCGGTTCCATTTCGCGACATTATGATGTCGTCTCAGCCCTCTCCCGGCAAAATCCACCGGTTGGAGCTCGAGAACTTCAAGTCCTACAAGGGATTCCAAATGATTGGCCCGTTCTACGACTTCACAGCCATCATTGGGCCCAATGGATCCGGCAAATCCAACCTCATGGATGCCATCAGCTTTGTCCTTGGCGTCCGGACTGGACAGCTCCGTGGCGCGCAGTTGAGGGATCTTATTTATGCGTTTGATGATAAAGAGAAGGAGCAGAGGGGCCGGAAAGCTTTTGTCAGGTTGGTTTATCAGCTGGCCAGTGGTACTGAAATTCAGTTCACGCGCACGATTACTAGTGCAGGTGGCAGCGAGTACAGGATTGATGGCAGGGTGGCCAACTGGGACGAGTACAATGCCAAATTGAAATCCCTTGATATCCTTGTCAAAGCCCGGAACTTTCTTGTGTTTCAGGTTGGTTTTTTTGCATTTGCAATCTTGCTAGCATCTCTTCTGGATATTCGTACTTATTCACCCTGGTATTGTTGTTTACATTAACTTGTTGCCTTTTTAGACTCCCTACTTTCGAGTAGGGGTAAGGTCTGTCTCTGCACACACACCTCCCCCCAAACCCCACTCGTGTGGGATCCAACTCGGAGGTAGTTGTTGTAACTTGGTACTTTTTATGTATATGTATTTATTTTTGTGAAATTGAGCTTTGTGTATGGAGATGAAATTCAGCATGTAAAATTGTAGAAATAGTAAACACGGGAAACCGGCAAACAAATTTTTTTAATTGTAAGTTCAGCTGGAATCAAAGAATAAGTGAATGTTTGAAATTGAGATGTGCTCGATGTAGTGGTTTAGAGGTTTATTTTGTGGTGGAACAAAAAAGAAAAATGTCTTTTAATGGGGAGGTCATGCTCAGACGGGTCTATACTCACATAATCCAGGTGTCCTTGTTTTTGGTTCAATGCAGCAAATGAGATTTATGTGCAGCGTGCACTTGTATGCTTAACTAATTATGATGTTATGCAGGGTGATGTGGAGTCAATTGCATCTAAAAATCCAAGAGAGCTAACTGCATTGCTTGAGCAAATTTCTGGTTCTGAGGATTTTAAGAGGAGTTGTGAGGAATTAGAAGAGGAAAAAGCTAGAGCTGAAGAAAAAAAGGCACTTGCTTATCAGAAGAAGAAAACAGTAACTATGGAGCGAAAACAGAAGAAGGAACAGAAAGAAGAGGCCGAAAGACATCTTCGCTTGCAGAAGGAGCTGGTATAACTTCAGAGTTTTTTTGGGATACATTAGACTTCAGAGTTTTATAAACCCCTGTTTAGGCGTCACTTGTTGATCTTTTATTAGAAGCAAACACATCAAATGCGACTATATTTTTCATTTGTGTTACACTACTAAGTACTACCTATTGCTGTTTGATTCCTAACTATTATTAGTGTTTAACTGTTTATAACGAGATTCCTATCGAGTATGATCCAACATATGTTTGAATCCTATCAGTTTCTGCATTTAGAATAAATAATACCATGCAAGCTACACCAAGCAGATTAAGTATCATGCTTGTAGTCTCCAACATTTTTTATAATCATGACATATCTGATTTCACCTATGGACGAGTATGTAAGCCTGTGCATTATTCTGATTAATTATATTAAATATGTGTATCTCACCTATGGGTGTAAAATATCATCGATTGACTTGGGTTACATGTTTGGTTTTTTGTTACATTTGAGCATTTGTCTCCGTATCCCGTTATTCCTTAACTTTGGAGAAAACTCTTTATTGGGCGTGGTCAAGGTATTTAAAAGGGGCATTTATAGTTGAGCTCAAAATTGCTTTGGGGAAATGTAGTAGTTGTTGCTAGCTAATATGCCATTGGAGGGTTACAATTCAGATTTCTTAGGCTGATATATGAAGGCATTTACAGTTTATTCTTTAACATTATTAATCCTTCTCTGACCAACTAGATGGCATTTCTGAACAGCCCTTTGTATTTGGTAGGTAATTTTGATGAAGCTGCCATGAAACCAAAAAACTTATAAGCTTTGTAATATAGGGCTGTGGGGAGCTGTGATCAAGTGCTGTTGGTTTTTTTTTTGGGTAGATGCTAGAGCTTGTTCTTTGTATTATCTTTTGCATTTTTGTATGCACTTAGCTGTCTGCTCATTGCTCCTTCATTTGTCAAATAATTTTGTCCAAGAACTTGATTTGAAAGCCTTTGTACATATGAAGTTTAAATGAATTTGTTGCTCTAGAGTCTAGGCTGATATCCAACAGCTGCACATGATGCATTTTCCAATGGTGGAAGTTCATCATGTTTTTGGATTCTATTTTTGTTTTGGTTTTATTTTTTTCTGTTGAAGTGGAAGCTAGATAATTTGTTACTGTGCTAAAATTAGTTACAAGTCAATTTTGCAAGGATGCGGAAGTCTCAAATTTGTTGAACGTGATGATTGTTACCTTCCGTTTATCTATTGCAGAAAAAGCTGAAGCAAGAGTACTTTCTGTGGCAATTGTTGAATGTAGAGAATGATGTAGCAAAATCCACGAAGGACCTTGAAGACGAAGAAATAAGACGAAGAGAAATTGTTGATCAACTGGAAAAGTACGAAAATGAAGCAAGAGAAAAGAAGAAAAAACTAAGTGGATACTTGAAAGAAGTTGCATTGCATGAGAGGAAGGCTGCTGAGAAAAAGAGTAAACTTGATAAGATTGTATGACTACCTAATTTTCTTTTTTTTTCTACTTTGTATTTTTTGATTAATTTTTGTGTGCATGGATCTTGATTTAAAGCTATCATCTTAATGCTAAGGATGGATATCTAATCTGAGAAATGAGACCCATTGTGCATACTCCACTATCCAAACAACTAACCCAGTAGAATCTCACAAAAAGTGGGGTCAGGGCTCAGGGGAGGGTGTATCTACACAGACCTTACCCCTACTTGAGAGTAGATAGACTGTTTCCAAGAGACCCCTAGCTTGAGCCGCAAAGAATGCATGGAAAACAAACTACCAAAGAAGAAGCAAAAGCAAACTAAGGACAAAGAAGAGCGTAAAGAGACAAAAAGCACACAAACCGCCTCTAACAACTAGACCCTAAGCACATAAGCTCACACAGACAAGAGCAAAATCTAACAAGAGCAAAATCTACCACCAAGGCCGAGGCAACTACTCACACATACTCCACTATCCATTTACTAAATTAAGTGAAGAGCTTTTTAGACTTTTGTGAAACTGTGCATTAACTGAGAACCTTTGAATGCTTAATGATTTTGTGAAACTGTGCACTAATGCATTAACACATGGACATGCATTATTTTTCCTTTCTACAGCAAGGAGTTTTTAGACTTTTGTTAGACGATGCGTCAGCCTCAAAGTGCAAATTCTAAGGCGTTATTTGCATAGCACATTTTCAAACTAAAAATACTTTTTTAGTGATGTAGTTTCTATGAGTTTGAACTTGTAATAACAATGGCAACAAGCCAACACCAATAATATTTGTGATCATTTTGTTTGCATAGCAATCTGAAGTTGTAAAAAAGAAGGAAGAAGCATCTCGCATCAGTTCAAAAATTAAAAGTACGAGTAAAGAGATAGAAAAGAGACAAGGAGAAAAGAAGAAACATGCTGAGGAGGTACAGAGACTTCAGAGAGACCTGAAGGATATTAATGATCAACTGGATAAGTTGCGTCAGAAAAGTCGCGATGCTGGTGGGAAACTTCAATTAGCCGACAGTGAGTTGGCGACATATCATCAAATGTGAGTCCTGCTTTTTGTTTGTTATATTATGAGTTTATCATGCACAGGTAAACAGTTGTTTTTAGTCTTACTACAATTACCTCTGAAACGTGAGAGATTGGTTTTCATGGGCTATTAAGATGATCCAATATGTTTTGAAAAAACTTCTAAAGTCCTCTGTATTATGTAGTAATATTTTATTGTCTTAATAGAAGTGCTATGATTCTAATACCCTCGTCCCTAAAAAACTTCACCTTTTCCTTCTTGGATCGCACTACACTAAACTCATCTTTCCATGTTTGATTAAAAAATGAGTGTATAAAGCCAATTCCACCCCACTTTATCTAAAGACTGCCTAAAATGTGAATTTTTTTTCTGAACACAAGGAGTGAGTTATGATACCCAAACTTGTAAAAACCCATTCTAGATATATCTTTTCAAACTTTGATGATATTTAGATAAAGATGCGTTACAGTTAAGTCTCAATGTTCAAAAAATGTGTAAGAAGGCAGTGGTGCTATTTTCCTTCAGTTCCAAGATGAAAAGATTAAGCCTCGAGTCCTGAAAGTGGCACATGCTTATAGAGCAATTAGAGCTTAAGCATGCTAGGATGCATATTCCTTCAAAGGGTTGAAGTCTTACAAGCTTTTGACAGTATTCATTTTCTCGCTTTTATTCTTTACAACAACAAAGCCTTATCCCACTAGGTGGGGTCGGCTACATGGATTAGACAACGCCATTCTCGCTTTAATTTTTACCTTATATAAATTAAATTCATGGGCCACCCTATGGGTTCCATAATACCGAAATACCATTTAATAAAAATCAAAAGTAACAACCAAGTCAGAACCTAAAGCATACGATTCTCAATTGGAGCTGCAACTTTCTACTCTTGCACCTCAACTGATTTTCAAAACAATGAACCTGCCATCTGATTTAAATTTTGACTGGATAAGAATAGGAGAAGATTTTAATGAATGTATCTTTTGATTAAAAACATTATAGAAGTTTCATGTGTATGCAGCATATGCATACGCACCACCCTAGGTGGGGTCGGCTACATGGATCAGACAACACCATTCTCGCTTTAATTTTTACCTTATATAAATT